TGTTGTTGTATAACAGCTTTAGGAGTAAAACTTGTTATTGTATATTATTTGAGTGTCTTTGTTCTTCAGTCTAATGTTTGTTTGTTTCCTTTTCCCCGCAGGAGTTGGAGTTCCACGGCGTGATGCGGTTCTACTTCCAGGACTCTGGCCAGAAGGTGGCCACCAAGTGCATCCGCGTGTCCAGCAACGCCAACTGCCGCTACGTGATCGAGACGCTGGTCGAGAAGTTCCGGCCGGACATGAGGATGCTGTCCATCCCCGAGTACGCGCTCTACGAGATCCACGAGAATGGAGGTGGGGAAGCGTCTTGCTGGGGATCTCTCCCTCTGCCTTGCTGCTCCCCTTTGTCTGATTATCATTCCCTGTTCGACGGACTTCATACACAGTAGACACCATACACGGATAGATACACGCACATCTAGGCCTATTATGCAATTATAACTGGACTGAGTGGGCCTCCTTGTCCAGAATCCCATGGCCAGGGTTCGGCGAATGCGGCCTGTCCCCCCGTGTGTATAACTGTCGATTCCTTTTATTAATCTCCACCGAGGAGGGGATTAGGCGCCGGATGCCCCTTAAGCAGGACGTTCCTTCCTTCGCTGATTTCTCCGGAGGGGAAGGGGGGGGGGCAGCCTGGCATTCATACCTCTGGAATCTTCCTCTCCCTGACCGCCCTCCTCCTCCCCTTCCTCGTCCACCTGCCCTGCCTCGGGAGATACACAAGGAAAGAAGAAAAAACTAGATCAGCGGGGCTTGTCTGATAAGATAGCGTGGAGGCTGAACTTGCTCTCTGACAGGGTGATACATTTGTGCTTGCGAGGCGGGGTGACACGCATAGTTGAATGATGAGATGAGGGCACAAGAAATGTATTCACGGCCAGTGATGTCATTTTTGGTATTTTGTCATATCAACAGATAGTCCAGGCCGTTTGTCTTTATTTTACAACGACCATGCCACTGCTCGGCGTCTGTATGCCTACTTATTCCAGTTGCGAAGTTCCGTGTACAAAGGCGGCTCCCTATGCCAATTCGCTCGCTACATGCATGCATAACTTTGATTCTATTGTAGTTACAATTTTAAGGACAATTATATAATGTTTAGATAAAGGTTATCTGCCCTTTCCTGAGCATCTACTTGTTTGTGAATAAACTTTTTTTTTTTGTAACAGACCTTATCAATCTACTGGATATGAACTGCATTCTAAGTAAAGCCTTCAGGAATGAAGTTTATCAGTCGATTATTACAATAGTAGTGACTACAACACAAATGCAGATAAGGAGTGTATTTACCTGTAAATCCGCATCTACCATATATGTGTGTTATCGCAGGCCTTCCAAAACTAATAAAAAAAATAATCAAAAGCGAAATGGGATTTGAGGATTACGATTATGAATGGTAATAATGAGTGATAGTTTTTAATTTAGTTTGGGGAATGTACGAGTACCCTAGTTTTTATGGTTATTCGTTTGTTAATTTTGTTAGTCATGTTTTTATTGTTAGTTTGTAAACTTAATAAAAGTATTTCCTAACCCTATTTCAGTCCACGCGGTAAAAATGCCAGAGCGAATTACCGTTAACAATATATTACAAGCCCTTCCCTTCTCCCTCCTTCCCTCCCTTCCTCCCTCTCCCCTTCCTCTTCCTTCCCCGCAGCCTTAACCAATTACGCGAAGGAAATCCACTTAAAAGGTTTTACAGAAATAGAACCCCTTAAAGGAGTGCAGCGCCCAGGCCTATTACCGCAAGGGTTTGGCGGAGGGTGAAAAGCTTCGGCTGAATGGGGGTTGGGAGGGTGGAGGAAGAAGGGAAGTGTTCAATGAATGCCTTGTTATGTAGACACTTTTTTTTTTTTAAGAGGTAAGGGTGTATATTGAGGGGGGGGCATACCCACTGGCACGCGCGCGACCGAACTGGCCATTGCGACGCGGAGATAAAAGGGAAGGATGTGTTTATGGCACTCTTCTCCCCTCTTCTTTTTCCTCCCTCCTCTTTCCCCCTCCTATCCTCTCCTGCCACCCCCTGCCACCCTCCTTCCTCCTCTCGCCCCTTGCCGTCCCCTCCTTTCACTCCCTACTACCAAGGCACTCCGCTCATGACGACGTCGGTTCCGTTTTGAGTTTGGGGAGAGGGAAGAGGTGGCGGTGGAGAGGGGTTGAAGGAGGAGACAGAGCAAGGGGTAAAGGGGAGGGAGGTGGAGGTAGAGAAGGAGGTGGGGATAGGGGAGCTGGAGGCGGAGGCAGAGGTGGAGAAGATAGAGAAAGCGAAAGGACGTTAGGATGGCCCCGTAGGCCTATCCAGAATGAGGGAAGGCAAGAAGGGGAAAGGGGTTAGGTGAGAGCGAGGGAACATCTGCACGTGTCGCGAGTGCTGTGCGACCCGAGGTTGAAGGGAGCACGTGTAGGGGAGGGAGGGAGGCCGAAGGAGGGAAGGGGGGGCGGGGAGGAGGACCAGTGGGAAATCTTGCACGCGTTCCAAGTTTGAAAGGATGCGGTTGTCAAGAACTTTTACGAGAAAAAATCCATGTTTTTAATCTAATGAAAGAAGTGTGAGGATTTTTTAGATTATATTTTTTGTACATACACGCACCCCCACGCACAAATGCTAACACAACACACGCACGCACGCACGCACGCACGCACACGCACTTACGCACGCACACGCACGCACCCTCTCCCCCACACACACATACACACACACGTACAAACAAACACACACGCACAAACAAACACACGCACAAACAAACACAAACACAAATAAACACACAAATACAAACACACAAGTACGCGCGCGCACACACACAATTACACAGGTACGCACACACACACAATTACTCTCGCACACACACACAATTACTCTCACACACAAACACATAAATACTCTCATGTACACATAATCACGCACACACACACATACACAGACGCACACGCACACACACGTACACGCACACATTCAGAATGAATCGTACGCTCAGAAACATGCCAAAGAGCATGAACAAATAAAGAAACAACCAACCACGAAGCGCGGCATATATTCCGCACACACCACACCAGATAATTACCACGGCGTTCACGTCCATACACAAACAGTCGCGTACACATGCTGTATATATAATGTAGACATAATAAGCGAGTTCGCACCTCGCAGCTGTCGGCGGCCCGATGAACCGCAGGGAAGGGCGCAGCCAGCGCGGAACGGGGGGCGGCCGCCGCGAGCGGGGCTTGAGCGAAAGCGCCTTGGGAGGTCTGGCTCTTTCCCGCGCCTTCGTCTTCGCTGCTCCTCCTCTGCCTCGTCCTTTTCCTCTTTCGTCCCCCCTCCGCCTCCTCTTTCTCCTCCTCCTCATCCTGGGCGTCCTTCTAATACACTTCCTCAACCTCCTCATCCAAATCCTCCTCCCCGACTTCATCCTAATCCTTATCCTCATATCTCCTCCTTCCCCTTTCTTCTCCTTTCCACACATCTTTACCCTCATTTTCACCTCTCCTCCTCCTCATTCCCTCTTCCCTTTCTCCTCGCCCCCCTCTCCCCCAGAGAATCGTAAATGTTTGTGTGTAAATGAGGGATAACGGGGCAGACATTCTGATGTTCCGGCTCGTGCGCGTGTCAAGGAGGTGCGCGGTTTTGCCCGGGCCTTGGATGTGCCTGTTCGGGGTCGGGTTCTGCGCGTGGAAGGCAGTTGTGGACGGCCGTGGCGATCGGGAGGTGCGGGCTTGCGTGCGTCTGCGTATGCATACCTGTGTGCGCATGGGGGAGGGATGACAGACGCAGGCAGACCCCTTTGAGAATGCATCTATGAGGATGCGTCTCTAATTGCGTTTGTGTGTATGGAAGACTTTAACGAAGGGATGAATATAGTAGATTGCAAATTAACAGGTGGACGGCCGTTAATACACGCATACGCACACGCGCGCACACAAACAGACATACAAACACACGCACACGCAACACGCACACACACGCACACGCACTTGCACGCACGCACACGGCACGCACGCACGCACGCACACGCACATGCACGCACGCATACACGCACATATACACGTACACATACACGCACACGCACATATACATGCAAACACGCGCACACACGCGCGCACACACACACACTCCTTTTTTGTTTTGTCCTTAATCCTTTTCATTTTTTTCTATCCTTTTTATCTTGCTTTGAATGTAATAGAAATATGATATAAAGAGGTGATCGTCACTATATTATAAAATAACGTTAATTATGATAATGGTGATTATGAAGATAGAAATTAGAGTTAATAATGAGGATGAAAGTATTAGTTTATAATGATAGCATTGATAGTGAAATTGGAATTGTGATACTTGTGATGGTAGTAAAATTAAGATTTTATAATATTTGATATTATTAATGATGAGAAATAATAATTCATGATGATAATGGTGATACTGACCATAGTGTTAATAGCAGTAGTAATAATGATAATGCCAGTGGCAGTAGTAAGCGGTGAGTAAAATCATGAAGCGCCCTGATCTTGGCGACGGCGCCCGAGACCCACGGCGCCCACGACAGCATCTAACGCCGAGCCTCGTTTACAGAGGAGCGACGGCTCGCCGACGACGAGAAGCCTCTGCTGGTGCAGCTCAACTGGAACAAGGACGACCGCGAGGGGCGCTTCCTGCTGCGGAGGATGGACCTCAAGTCCGCCATGGGGGGAGAGGTAGCTACAGGAGGAGTCCCGCGGGCTCGCCTCTCGTTTGATTAGCTTTAATTAGCAGTTTTCGCGTGAAGCGTTGGTGGCGTAGGTGATTAGTTCAAGAGCGTGTGCGAACTCTTTTCTTGGAGCTTGGTTTTGTATGCCTCTTGAGTTGAGTATTTTTAGTTATAGCAGCATTCTTAATTAAACATCAGAAGTGATAATATTTCATGATCAACTAAAGCAGATTTAAGTCTATAGTTTACTGATTTTGAGAATGAATTCCTTCTAAATTCCTTAGTGGTAGCGTCTTGGATGTAAATGCCATGTTTGAAGCCTTAGATTTCAGATAAGGAACACGCCAATGCATTATTATTCAGATTCAAAGGAAATGTAAAAATGCATTGACGATATTGCTTTGTGTTCTTTCAGATTTTTTGATCTCTTTGATGCCTTGTTAAGTAATGTGTAGAGTAATCTGTGGAAGGAGGCATAGATTTCAGTTTTCTCTTGTACTCTTTTATATGCAATAAGATGCAACACAAAAGATGCTAATTTCATGGAGAAAGTCTAGCTAGCAAAATACTGAATGATGCATATTGTCTAGTGGAATTATTTATCGTATCACATACCTATTTCGCCAGTTCACAGCAACTGTTCTTTAACTTGCTACCTTAACATGCTTATGTAGAAACCTACACCACCCACGTGTTTTTGTATGAGTGTGTGAGTGAGTGAGTGTGAGTGAGTGAGTGAGTGAATATGTGTGTGAGTGAGTGAGTATGTGCGTGAGAAAGTGAGTATGTGTGTGAGTGAGTGAGTAGTGTGAGTGAGTATGTGTGTGAGTGAGTATGTGTGGTGAGTGAGTGAGTATGTGTGTGTGAGTGAGTGAGTAGTGAGTGAGTGAGTGTGTGTGTGAGTGAGTGAGTATGTGTGTGTGTGTGATGTGTGTGTGAGTGAGTGAGTGTGTGAGAGAGTGAGTACGTGAGTAGTGTGTGTGAGTGAGTGAGTATGTGTGTGAGTGAGTGAGTATGTGTGTGAGTGAGTGAGAGAGTGAGTGTGTGTGTGTGAGTGAGTGAGTAGTGAGTGTGTAGTGTGTGAGTGAGTGAGTATGTGTGTGAGTGAGTGAGTATGTGTGTGAGTGAGTGAGTATGTGTGTGAGTGAGTGAGTATGTGTGTGTGAGTGAGTGAGTATGTGTGTGAGTGTGAGTATGTGTGTGTGAGTGAGTGTAGTGAGTGAGTGTAGTGTGTGTGTGTGTATGTGTGAGTGAGTGAGTATGTGTGTGTGAGTGAGTGAGTATGTGTGTGTGAGTGAGTGAGTATGTGTGTGTGAGTGAGTGAGTATGTGTGTGTGAGTGAGTGAGTATGTGTGAGTAGTGAGTGTGTGTGAGTGAGTGAGTATGTGTGTGTGAGTGAGTGAGTATGTGTGTGTGAGTCTGAGTGAGTATGTGTGTGTGAGTGAGTATGTGTGTGAGTGAGTGAGTGTGTGTGTGTGAGTGAGTGAGTATGTGTGTGTGAGTGAGTGAGTATGTGTGTGTGAGTGAGTGAGTATGTGTGTGTGAGTGAGTGAGTATGTGTGTGAGTGTGAGTGAGTGAGTATTGTGTGTGTGAGTGAGTGAGTATGTGTGTGAGTGAGTATGTGTGTGTGAGTGAGTGAGTATGTGTGTGAGTGAGTGAGTATGTGTGTGTGAGTGAGTGAGTGTGGTGTGTCGTGTGTGGAGTGAGTAAGTGAGTGAGGAGTATCGTGTGTAAGTGTGTGTGAGTGGTATGTGTGAGTGAGTGAGTTATGTGTGTGTGTGAGTGAGTGAGTATGGTGTGAGTGAGTGATGTGAGGTGAGTGTGTGATGTGTGTAGTGTGTGAGTGAGTATGTGTGTGTGTGTGAGTGAGTATGTGGTGTGAGTGAGTGAGTATGTGTGTGTTGTGAGTGAGTAGAGTGAGTGAGTGTGTATGTGTGAGTGAGTGAGTATGTGTGTGTGTAGTGAGTGTAGGTGATGTGTTGAGTAGTATGTGAGTATGTGAGTGAGTGAGTAGTGTGTGTGTAGTGAAGAGAGTATGTGGTGGAGAGTGAGTGATGTGTGTGAGAGAGTGAGTGTGTTGGAGAGTGAGTATGTGTGTGTGAGGGAGTGAGTATGTGTGTGAGAGAGTGAGTATGTGTGTGAGAGAGTGAGTATGTGTGTGAGAGAGTGAGTATGTGTGTGAGAGAGAGTATGGTGTGTGAGAGAGTGAGTATGTGTGTGAGAGAGTGAGTATGTGTGTGAGAGAGTGAGTATGTGTGTGAGAGAGTGAGCAGGTGTGTGAGAGAGTGAGTATGTGTGTGAGAGAGTGAGTATGTGTGTGTGAGTGAGTGAGTATGTGTGTGTGAGTGAGTGAGTATGTGTGTGAGTGATGTGAGTATGTGTGTGAGTGAGAGTGAGTGAGTGAGTATGTGTGTGAGTGAGTGAGTATGTGTGTGAGTGAGTGAGTATGTGTGTGAGTGAGTGAGCATGTGTGTGAGTGAGTGAGTAGTGAGTGAGTGAGCAGGTGTGTGAGTGGTGAGCAGGTGTGTGAGTGAGCAGGTGTGTGAGTGAGTGAGCAGGTGTGTGAGTGAGTGAGCAGGTGTGTGGTGAGTGTGTGTGAGTGAGCAGGTGTGTGAGTGAGTGAGCAGGTGTGTGAGTGAGTGAGCAGTGTGTGAGTGAGTGAGCAGGTGTGTGGGTGAGTGAGCAGTGTGTGTGAGTGAGTGAGCAGGTGTGTGAGTGAGTGAGCAGTGTGTGAGTGAGTGAGCAGGTGTGTGTGAGTGAGTGAGCAGGTGTGTGAGTGAGTGAGCAGGTGTGTGAGTGAGTGAGCAGTGTGTGAGTGAGTGA